CCCATAACTGGGGGGAGAAGAAGAGGATTCATGCCTTTCCCAAGGGTATTAGCACATAAGTGAATGTAATGGATTCGACTTGAATTCGAACTCGGCTCTCCTATTCCTTAATCCAAGCCGCTAGCCATTACACATTTTCCCGCAGTAGATTGTCATTTCTTTCTGTGGTAGACCAGTCGCCATCTAAGGCTACAGAACCCAGTCTGTTCTGCTATTTACCCATAGCTGGAGGGAGAAGAATTTTTTAACATGGAAACTCGGGCCGCTGGTCTATGCTGGTCTTACCTGGTCATAGCTTGTCCAAGCAGGTCAGAGCTGGTCTAAGCTACTCAGAGCTGGTCTTGGCTTGTCATAGCTGGTCCAGGCTGGTCAGAGCCGGTCCAAGCTAGTCGCAGCCGTGATACCACCAGCACAGGGACGAATCCCTACACCAGGTAAGTATCCACCTAGTCTTAAATAAGTTAATATGAAGAAGGAGAATTGACCCCCCCTCACGGCGACGTTAATTTGATGAAACCCAGAAGGGAATAAGCAGCCATTTTGCGTTTAAATGATTTCATATCTAAATTTTTACGAACATTTCCCTTAATATTAATGTAAAAAGATACTCCAGCAGACGACGTTGTTTTATTTATGGTAAATAGATTTTGAGCGATTGCCTTTGGTCAGTATATTGTACGTGAGAAAAATGCTTTTATCACAGTCGCCAAGATCAAAGTGTAATATCTGTTCTTATCAGATAAAAAAGATATTTTCACTCACTTCAATCTTCCCTTTCTTTCTTTAATTTTCTCAATGTATTCAAGTAGAGCCTCTTTTCATGCGATCAAAATGAAATAGTCCCTTGTTGGTATTGCCAGGGCGTAACGGTCGTGTGGACTAACGAAGAGAAGAACAAGAGTAATTATGATAGAATTATCGTATTTTTATTAGACGTTATAAAGATAACGTTGCACAAGGCAATCGTCAAACTTTACTTGTGCCAGATTTAGATGTTTTCGAAGAAGTGCATTGAAGAAATTTGCGTATTTCTCAAAGCCGAATTCCTTATTTCTGAATCTGAATTCTTGGAGCGATTAAGCAATTCTTTCGTGAGATTTTATATGGTCCAGAGATAAAGTTGTTCAAGCGTGTCTATAACAATAATTCTATGGGTACCTTTGTCGAAGCGAAACTATTCTTGTATCCATGTGTCAGCCGTTTCCTTTCGTGTCTACTTGATTCGCCGGGCGGAACGTCATTTAGACAAGGTCGGGTCATCGACCGACACTGGCTTACAGCAGCTGTGATAAAAGGTAATCATAATACAGGTCAATTTGGGAAGAAGGTCATGAACCCGGAAGAGAAATAACGCATTTATAATCCGGTTACCGACAGATTCGATTTCACTAGGGTCTTCTACTTGTGACATTGTACCAGATCTAGATTAATGAAATATTAAATATCAAACATTGGCTGATATATTGGAAGATTATCTAACGAAAGCAGAGTGAGGCAGAAATACCTCCCACATATACCTCTCAGAAATACCTCCCACATAATGATGCCATATCAGTGTCAATGGCGTTTTCATTGAGCTAACGTTTTACCATTATGTGTGTGATATTTTGGGAAGTTATAATCTCACAGATGAAGAGGAGAATTGACGCAAAGACTGTAAAGAAAGGTTACTTATAAATCATTCCAGGAAGAGAAAGCTGAAATTTCTAGAGCAAATAAGGAGGAAAGAGAGCTTGGAGAATCTGATACTCGCAAGGCAGTTTGAGAGCAAGAGGAACAGAGGAAAACAACACATAACCGTCATTGTGAGTTCAATCCCAGAACTGGACAGTGTATACTTAGTTTGGTTTGATTTGTTTTTTTATAGGTTATTTAATGCCAACAAGATTTTTCTTACGGGCAATATGTTTTTTCAAAAAAATGTATTGCTGATCACATATATATATATTTAAATATATTGCTGGTAATATTTTTTTTCAAAAATGTATTTCTGCTAATATATATATATATATTAAATATATTTCTAGTAATATTTTATAAAAAATGTATAACTAGTAACATATATATTTTAAATATATTGCTGGTAATATTTTTTTTTCAAAAATGTATTACTAGTAATATATATATATATATATATATATTATTGCTAGGTAATATTTAAAAAAATGTATTGCTGATAATATATATATTAGATATATATATATTTAATATATAATTTAATATTTAATTTAATTTAATATATATATAATTAATATATATAATTAACATATATATATATATATATATATACAATTAATTTAATTTTATATATATATATATATTAATTTTAATTTAATTACAAAATTAAATTCGAAGCTTTCAGCTTCCATTTTTGAAACATGGTTAGAACTTTGCATCGAAAAAACATCAGTGAATTTATAATATTAATGCTCTGTAAATTTACATTGAGCACTATTTTGTAAAAATAAAAATATCTATAAGAACACCGGATTATGATATATATATATATATATATATATATATATATATATATATATATATATATATATATATATATATATAAATTTGCTGATAATATATTTTTTTTTAAATATATTGCTGGTAATATTTTTTTTCAAAATATATTGCTGGTAATATATATTTTAAATATATTGCTTGTAATATTTTTTCCAAAAAATGTATTTCTGATAACATATATATATATATATATATATATATATATATATATATATATATATATATATATAAATATATATATATATATAAATTTAATATACTTTTTCAAAAATGTATTTCCGGTTAATATATATATATATATATTTAAATATATTGTTGGTAATATTTTTTTTAATTTATTACTGGGAATATATATATTCTTAAATATATGCTGGTAATATTTTTTAAAAATAATGTATAACTGGTAATATATATATTTTTAAAAAAATGATTGCTGCTATTAAAACCTTTTTTTAGACTTTCATGCAATTAAGAAGTGGTTCCACGCTCCTCAAAACCTCCTGATCAGAGGCCTAACTGCTGGATATAGTTTATAGTCTTACCCAGGACGCGGATGTAGTTTATCGTCTTACACAGGACGCGGACGTAGTTTATTGTCATACCCAGGACGCGGATGTAGTTTATCGTCTTACCCAGGACGCGGATGTAGTTTATCGTCTTACCCAGGAAGCGGACGTAGTTTATCGTCTTACCCAGGACGCGGACGTAGTTTATTGTCATACCCAGGACGCGGATGTAGTTTATCGTCTTACCCAGGACGCGGACGTAGTTTATTGTCATACCCAGGACGCGGATGTAGTTTATCGTCTTACCCAGGACGCGGACGTAGTTTATCGTCTTACCCAGGACGCGGATGTAGTTCATCGTCTTACCCAGGAAGCGGATGTAGTTTATTGTCATACCCAAGACGTTCGTGTACTTGGACTCTGTGAAAACGGGAGATCCATAACTTAACAGTATTAAATAAAACTAAATACTAGTCCAGATCACCCTGTTCTCTTTCTACGGCCTGAGTCTGGGGATATCTCGTTTTTTCCTTTTAGTACAGAGCAGTTATTGCTCTTTCTTTTTCCTGTGAATCCAACTCCATTTTCCCCGGCCCAGGGATTGAACTCACAGTTACTATGTCATTAAATCTATGAATATTTATTTCATAAGAATTTATTGAGAGGATTGTGTCGTAAAATCCCAGAAATGCAGACAGAAAATATTTTAATCCCTTTCTAACGGTACTAACAAGACATTACCTAGCATTTTACTAACCACCTCTTAATTGCTGGTGTTCCCAGGTCGATCTGGACCCGGGATGGAAGCACCTCGGCAAATAGTTAACCCCGAAACTGAGATAAAAAGCACTATGAAAGTCTAAAAATAGGTTTTAATACCAGAAAAACTTAGTCAAAATTATTACCAGAGATAAATTTTTAAAGAGAAAAAACTATTTCCAGCAATACATTTTTTTTAAATAATATTAGCAGCTATACATTTTTGAGGAAGAAATATTATCAGAAATGGATGTTTGACAAAACAAAAATATTACCAGGAAAAAAAAGTTGTCGGCATTAAATAACCCATTCAGGTGTTGATATGCCGTAAAACAAAACAAACAAAACAAAACTAGCAATTTACTGCTGTAACTGCTTATTATCTACCAAATTGTCTTTACCAATCGCCGAAAATCAATCGTTTCGATGTCATTGAATCGATCTCAGCAGTGAGATCGTTAGGGACGTATTTGCAAGAGCAATATCCAGAAGAAGAAGAAGAAGAGAGAGAGGAGGAGAAAAGGAAAAAGAAAAAGAAGGAAAAAAAGAAAAAATGAGATAAGAAAAAAAGAGGAAGACGTATTAGAAGAAAAGAAGGCGGATTAAAGAAAGAAAGAAAGAAAGAAAGAAAGAAAGAAAGAAAGAAAGAAAGAAAAGGGGAGATAGAGACGAAGAAGAAGAGAAGAAAAAAGGCGAGAGAGAAGAAGAAGAAGAAGAAGAAGAAGAAGAAGAAGAAGAAGGAGGAGGAGGAGAAGGATGAGGCGAAGAAGGAGAGGAAAAAGAAAAAAATATGTAAAAAGAAGAAGAATATAAGACAGATTAGAGAAAAAAGAAGGAAAAAAAGAAGAAAATTCAGGGATAGCAAAAAAGAGTTGTCGATTGAGTCAAATTATAAAATATAAAATATTTTTAATTCATAAATAATTTAAAAAACTGGAAAAAAAATCGCAAATCGTTCAGGCGTATTTATTTGAACATGACAGCCACACAAATATAAGCAGATATGAATCAACAGTGATAGATCGATAGATATGAACATTCAAAGATAGATAGACATATAGATAGATATGAACGTACTGAGGTATCTATCTAGATACATAGATAAAAACGAACAGACTAAGATAGATACATAAATACATATATATGAATAAACTGTGATAGATATATAGATAGATCGATAGATAGGAACAAGCTGAAACATGAACCCACTGAGATAGATTAACATGAACAGATTGCGATAGATAGATGGATAAATATGAACAGAAGTAAATAGATAGATAGATAGATAGATAGATAGATAGATAGATAGATAGATAAAGAACAGCTTGCTAGATAGATATAAACAGATAGATATGTACAGACTGAGATAGATAGATGAATAGATAGATAGATAGATAGATAGATAGATAGATAGATAGATAGATAAAGAACAGATTGCGATAGATATACAGATAGATAGATAGATAGATATGAACAGAATTAGATAGATAGATAGATAGATAGATAGATAGATAGATAGATAGATAGATAGATAGATAGATAAAGAACAGATTGCGATAGATATACAGATAGATAGATAGATAGATATGAACAGAATTAGATAGATAGATAGATAATGAACAGATTGCGATAGATTGATAGATAGATAGATAGATAGATAGATAGATATGAACAGAATTAGATAGATAGATAGATAGATAGATAGATAGATAGATAATGAACAGATTGCGATAGATATACAGATAGATAGATAGATAGATAGATATGAACAGAATTAGATAGATAGATGAATAGATAGATAGATAGATAATGAACAGATTGCGATAGATATACAGATAGATAGATAGATAGATAGATATGAACAGAATTAGATAGATAGATAGATAGATAGATAGATGAATGAATAATGAACAGATTGAATAGATGATATAGATAGATACATAGATATGAACAGATTAGATAGATTGATAGATAGATAGATAGATAGATAGATAATGAACAGAATGCGATAGATTGATAGATAGATAGATAGATAGATAGATAGAACAGAATTAGATAATGAATAGATTGATAGATAGATATATGGATAGATAGATGAATGGATATGAACAGAATTAGATAGATGGATAGATAGATAGATAGATGATATAATGATTGCGATAGATAGATAGATAGATAGATAATGAACAGATAGATAGATGATAGATTGATAGATAGATGAATAGATAGATAGATAGATAGATAGATAGATGAACAGAATTAGATAGATGAATGGATAGATGGATAGATAATATAATGAACAGATTGCGATAGATATACAGATAGATAGATAGATGAATGTGAACAGAATTAATTAGATAGATAGATAGATGGATGGATAGATGGATGAATAGATAGATGGATAATGAACAGATTGCGATAGATATTGATAGATAGATGATATGATATGACAGAATTAGATGGATGGATAGATAGATGAATAGATGAATGGATGGATATGAATAATGAACAGATTGCGATAGATAGATAGATAGATAGATAGATAAATAATGAATAGATAGATAGATAGATAATAACAGATTGATAGATATACAGATAGATAGATGATAGATATGAACAGAATTAGATAGATAGATGAATGAATATATGAACAGATTGCGATAGATTGATAGATAGATGAATAGATAGATAGAACAGAATTAGATAGATAGATAGATAGATAGATAGATAGATAGATAGATAGATAATGAACAGATTGCGATAGATATACAGATAGATAGATAGATAGATATGAACAGAATTAGATAGATAGATAGATAGATAATGAACAGATTGCGATAGATATACAGATAGATAGATAGATAGATATGAACAGAATTAGATAGATAGATAGATAGATAGATAGATAGATAATGAACAGATTGCGATAGATTGATAGATAGATAGATAGATAGATATGAACAGAATTAGATAGATAGATAGATAGATAGATAGATAATGAACAGATTGCGATAGATATACAGATAGATAGATAGATAGATAGATAATGAAGGAACTGAGATAGATAGCTAGGTAGATGATATATATATATATGATACAGATAGGCAGAAACAGAAGCACACACACACATATATTTTATTGATTATAGAGATATAATAAAATGTCACTAAAAAGCCTATCTATCCCTCAAATGTTCAGACTTTTTGCCACGCCCTTCTTTATCCCAAGGGTATTAGCACGTAAGTGAATGTAATGGATTCAACTGGAATTCGAACTCGGCTCTCCGATTCCTCAATCCAAGCCGCTATCCATTACTCCGTTTTCCCGCAGTAGGTTGCCATTTCGTTCTGCGGTAGATCTTTCCATCCAAGGCTATAAAACCCGGTCCGTAAATCATCTTCTTCTTCCCCGCCCATAGCTGGGAGAGAAGAAGAGGATTCATACCTTTCCGAAGAGTATTAGCATATAAATGAATGTAATGGATTCGACTGGGATTCGAACTTGTCTCTCCGATTCCTCAATCCAAGCCGTGTCTCCTCTAATTATCCTATTATTATTATTCCCTTTGAATTCTACTCTATACTCATTTCCTTCTGGGTCTCTACTACACACCTAAGATTAAAATGGCGTCGCGACATTTTCCACAAAACTTTTTTGTAAAAAAGTAAATAAATGAATAAATAAAACCACTTAACCCACATTTTACAGAGATAAAGATCTTTTTGATGTTCGCCTTGTGTTTCTGCGAATAACGATTTGTATTTATTTAGGATACTTTCTACCAGGGAACCCTTCAATGTGCCTATCAGAACCTTTTAAGTAAGGCCCAGACACAACTAGAACTATGGATGCCTTCATGTGCCATGTTTTTTTAGATTTCCATTTTGAAGATCCATATATTTTGATAATTCTTTGAAGATCTTCAAAGTTACATCACCGTCTGCAGAAACGGCTACGTTAATAAGAAAGTTCATTCTATTTTTGTGGTCTTTGATCACAGATGTCTGCTTGATTAGCTTTGATTGATCAAGTTTGTGTGTATTGTAATGTACCATAAAATTGTTACATATCCAGCGCCCGTAAACGGTTTGGAATGGTGTTCATACCTTACTAGATTAAAAGCCGTCTGATCGGATGGTATTTAAGCTAGCTCCTGAGGAGGCCTCTTGATTGGACCTTCATCACAATAGCTAGGAAGGGGTAGATACGATAAGCAATAATTAAATACAGAGCTACAGAAAAACTCAAATCTGATCGCTGCATTTAAGTAACGAATTAATACTTAAGATTACCTTTTAAAAGTTCAACGATAATTCTTCTTCCGCCAATTAATTTAAAGACAATTTGATGCACGTAGGTCCTTACTTTCCGTAAAAACAATTTTTTTTTTATTTCGTAGATGACTTTTCGCTGGATTTTGCAATTAATTTCGATTATTCCCAAATGTATTTCCAAGTTATTAAAATTGTTATCGTACCAAAATTTGGTCGCAAACAAATCACGTAAAAAATCTCCGAAAACAATCACGGTAATAAAAATTTGCGATTCCAAAATTTCAGGATTGCAGTCCCGGATTCGGCCTGGGATGGTTTTAATTTGCTAACGGAATTCAGTCTGATTCCAAAATGCTATATGTTGGATTACAACCTCTAGGAGTAAAGTTGAAAATATGTAACACACTGACATTCGCATTTATTATATAGAAGAAGATAATATATTTAAAAGTTAAAGAGTTGTGTCCCTTTAATTGAAAAAAGTCTGACACACTGTTGTTTGCATTATTTACATTATTCGGATTATTGTCCTCATCCCTGTCGCCATAATTATTACAACGTTTCGACCGTTGTACGCTCCGGCCTTCTTCAGCTGAACCATTTATTTCGCTCACTGGGGTAGATTGTTCTAGTTCCATGTGCCATGTTTAATGGATGTCAGTTATCAGTTATCTCCTGTTAATTCCCCTCTCCAAGTTCTCCACTGCCTTAGCCGGGTACTGAACTGCGGTCCATATAACATCAGGACCACCTTCAAAAGCTTGACGACACTTCGCAGATATTTCTCTCGAGTAAGACCCCCCATATAGGAGAACATGACTAAAGACTGTGTGTCCTTGAGGACATCTGTGTATGAATTTCTGGGTATTATAAACCTAATGTCTTCAGCAACCATTTTTTTTTATCAGTACTCATATTGCAATTTTTTCCTGTTATTATTACATGTTTTTTTACCAGAGCTCATATTGCATTTTTTGTTGTTATTATCGCTTTTCTCTGGCACTCCTTATTACTGGTTCCCATATTGTATTTAACGGCATTTAGATTGATTTTACTTACAATTATGAGGATGAAAGATTTATAGGAGTAACCAGGATTTTATAAGTACAGGACTAGTACATTAGTGGCCACACCCCTTGAATATAATGTGCTATATTTCACAAGAATGACTGGTTCAATATCGTCTCGAAAATTCAAACAACATTACGTGTACGTTATCAAAATAACGAGTCGTAGAGAGGGCGTATTACTTAAGATTGGAATGGTTCATAGGTCAAGGTTCGTAGTTTGACCTTTCATTCTCACTGGATGACCTCAACCGAGCTCACGGTGGCAAAACGTGTTGTCATTAAAAAAAAGCATTTTTACACTTTAGTTCACACAAACGTAGAGACACATATATATGCACACCCATACACACACAACACACATAGACACACACGCACATATAGACGCGCACTCGCATATACACACAGACACACACACATGCAATCACAAACACAGAGACATAGACATACATACACACACATATACACACACACACATATATACATGCACACATACACGCACATACAGATATATATACACACACACACACCCATACACACATATGTACGCACCCCTATACACATATACAAACACACGCGCATAAACACACTTACATGCACACATACACACACACTTTTCAATTAAAGGGACAAAACTCTTTAACTTTCAATAGCTCATGTTACAGAAATTTTGGATTCTCAAAACGTGTTGTCATTAAAAAAACATTTTTACACTTTAGTTCACATATACATACACAAACATAGAGACCCATACATATGCACACGCATACACAAACAACACACATAGACACACACGCACATACAGACGCACACTTGCATAACACACACATACACAGACATGCAATCACAAGCACAGAGACATACATATACATACACACATATATGCACACATACACACACATACATTTGTCATTAAAAAAAGCATTTTTACACTTTAGTTCGGATACTACATTCTACATTCTACTAACACACACATATACACATACAAACATAGAGACACATACATATGTACACGCATAGCATACAACACACATACACACATGTTGATATACACGCGCACTTGTATATACACACATACAATCACAAACGTAGAAACATTCACATACATACACACATATACCCACACAGACATATACACGCGGGCACACACACATATATATATATACACACACATACACGCACACACATGTATAAACACACACCCATACACACCACACTCATACATACATATGTATGTACACATATACACACACACGTATACACATACACACACATAGCTCACAAACACAAATACACAAATATTATATATATATATATATATATATATATATATATATATATATATATATATATATAATAAATGAGAATGTCTTCGTGTCACTGTGTCACACTTTTTCAATTAAAGGAAACAACTCTCTAACTTTCGAAATTTTGGATTCTCAATTTTGATTACGGCGATTGTTGTCGGCGAGTTTTTTTACGTGTTTTTGCGACGATAACAAAATTTATAACTTGGAAATCAATTTGGGAATAATCGAAATTAATTGTGAAATCCTGGGAAAGTCACTCGTGAAATAAAAATAATTATTTTTACCGAAAGTAAGGACCTACGCATATCAATTTTTCTTTAGATTAATTGATGAAAGAAAAGTTTTCGTTGATCTTTTAAAAGTTAAACTTAAATATTAATTTTGAGTTCTTCTGTAGTTTATTGCTGCCTATCGCATATGACAGCAGTATGCCTTGCAATAAGAAATCTCCGCCAACAGAGGAACAGATTGCAATCAAGAGAGCCAAGGCTGCAGAGAGGAAAAGAAAGCCGTGTGCAAATGAAAACCCATCTCATACAGGAGATAGGGGAGCTTCCAATGCTGAGAATATGTAAAGACTTAGGCACTTTCAAACTCCTAAACAAGCCAAAGGCCCAATCAAAAGCCCTCCGCTGGAGATAGTAGAAGCTAATCCTTGATATATTTCCTTGTTATGGTGACCTATCTACAATAGAATGAACTCTTCTTCCTTTATAAATACTAACTTGCGAGACTTCCTTGAGGAGGCATTCGGGACGCAGTTTCTGACTATGTGTGACTTCAGTCGAACTCTCTGCTTTGGCAGAGAGGAAACCGGACGAAGCTTTGCCGAAGGTTAAAGCTTCGTCCGGGGAGGTAGACAGGCCCTGAACTCGTTTATACGGGTTCTAAGGGAATATTTTTGGCCGAGCCTACGGGCTTTGAGGACGCACGGTAAACTTGGCCTTGTGCCACATACATCCCTCGTGGGTGGGCTGTTAAATATCGACAGTCGACACACAGTCTCTGACTGTGTGAGACTTCTGTCGAACTTTCTGCTCTGGCAGAGAGGAACCCGGCAGTTAAATATAGGCAGTCGGGACGCAGTGTAACCTGGCAGTTTCAGACGGACGCTTCTATCTGCTGACTAATGACACTCTTATTTTGTATATATGTTCTGTTATTTCAATACACTTGTTCAACCTACCTTCTTCTTTCCATATCTTTCTTTCTGGCCCCTAACAGGCCAAAACACTGTCTTTATGCCATTATTCTTTATATAAGACTATTACTACTTCATTTTCTCTGGCTTCTGCAACCAAGCCTATGCCAGAGAAAAGGAAATAAATCAGATTCAAAAATGCATAATTGATATTTGTTGTCTGTATGAAAAAATATGTTGCACTTAAGAAAACAGTTTTAAGCCCATTGTGAACAACACCAACTGGACAATTTGGGAAAAGTAAAGTAAATTTATTTTGTATAGATTTGTAGTTTCTCCACACCTTAGTTATGACACCATATTGTTCAGAAACAAAGTTTACACGATATATAAAGAAGAATATGCAATGTTATTGGTCCTGATCTAGCATCTCGACTTTTGTTATGGTGACCTATCTACATTAGAATGAACTCTTCCTCCTTTATAAATACTAACCTGCGAGACTTCCTAAGGAGAGGCAGTCGGGACGCAATGTAACCTGGCAGTTTCAGACAGACACTTCTATCTGCTGACTAATAACACTCTTATTTTGTATATATGTTCCGTTATTTCAATACACTTGTTTAACCTACCTTCTTCTTTCCGTGTTTTTCTTTCTGGCCCCTAACAAGCCACAACATTCCTACAAAGTCGTAATTCCTTTTTTGGAATTTCTGTTCTTGAAGAAAAAACTCCACCCTACAAAAACTACAACCTAATTCGTAGTTGGCAACTTGTTTCTTTTTCTTCCTCGCTATTCTCTTCACTCACTGAGAGTGTGCAGCACGCGGTGTGGCACAATTGCAGCTCAGTGGTCGTAGCAAGCAGATGCAAGGTGACTATTCATTTCTGGAAATTCGTGATACCAAACGCTGGGGTAAAATGGGGGTGGGTAAAGCGCCTACCTTTATTAATTACTACTTCCACTCGTATAAACCTGAGGGCAAAATCTGAGGGCGGCATGCGCTAGATGAGGGACGGCAACACGACTAAAAAATTCTATTCACAGAGTCAGTCATCATTATTATGTATACAGAGTCAACTGGGTGTCTATATTAATAAATGATAACGCCATTACCAAAAATAGACATATCCGCTGAATGTATTGCTTCATGTCGTAAATACAATGATCTGCGAACTCACTGTCGTTAGATTGATTTTCCTTTTATAACTTGGTCAGGCAAGTTCACTGTGGTTAATGCAAGATTGTCGTGGACAGAATATTAATTATGCCTAAGTGATTCATTACAAATCGCTAATGATAACAGTCGGCTTGATTGCGTATTGGCTTAGAAGATGAGGTTGAGCGGCGTCGAGAAAAAAATGGCTGTTCATAAAGCAACCACGATTGGAAAAGCGGAAATGTCTAAAAGGACAAGAGATCAGGTGCATTTACACCTCAACAAGTGACAGAAATGACAGAAATTCAGTTTTGTAGGAGTAACGAGGAAGGCAATTAGGAGAGAAACGAGAGATACATATGGACTGAGATAGATAGATAGATAGATAGATAGATAGATAGATAGATAGATAGATGAAATGACTTACATAAGGAAATGACTGAGACAGATATGAACAGACTGAGATAGATAGATAGATAGATAGATAGATAGATAGATATGAATATGAACAGGCTTTGATAGATAGATAGATAGATAGATAGATAGATAGATAGATAGATAGATAAAGAACTGACTTACATAGGGAACTGACTTAGATAGATAGATATGAGCAGACTGAGATAGATAGATAGATAAGGAACAGGCTTAGATAGATAGATAGATAGATAGATAGATAGATAAAACGAGCAGGTATATATATATATATATATATATATATATATATATATATGGGAAAAATTGTATGACAAAGTAGAAAAAGTATACTGGTAACCTTTTCCACTGTCTCATAAAGTTTTCCCAATATTATTCTAGTTATATAAAAAAAAATATAACGCTATCTTATATATACATATATATATATATATATATATATATATATATATATATATATATATATATGCGTGTCTGTGTGATTACTGAAAGATCTTATTGAAGATAAGTAAGCATAATATGTCTAAATTGTTTAATACCCAAGTTAAATTAAATACACACACACATATGCATGTGTGTGTGTGTGTGTGTGTGTGTGTGTTAATATGACTTCGTGCTAGAAAAAACCTAGACCCCCAAATAGTTCCGCTTGCCCAATTTCACTCTTGGTTTCAGTAAGAAAATAAATGAAAGAAAAGAAGAAGTGAAGATAGAAATATTTCACGGCTGTTTTAGTAAAATGGGAAAAAAAATTGTCAGTTAAATATTTTTCATTTGTACCCCCTTACTTCTTGAAATAACGACCAGCTTTCATATTTATGATTGTTCCTGTAATATTTTGTTAAATTTATGTTCAAATATTTAATGATGTGATAAGGGAATTTTTACGGATATACTATTGCCATAGAATTCGCCATGAGCTTATTTAATCATTAACTGAAGAATTAATTTTCATCAGACGATAAAAATAAGAAAAGAGTAAAAATTTTCAAAACTAAAAAACTAAAACTTCATAAATCTGATAATATAAACGACATCCTGTATCTGATTAAAGTGATTAAATGTCAAATGTGTGAGCTTTTTTTAATTTTCTGAATGAGTCTTTGGCAATATTTGCTTTTTTGTTGTGAAGAAAATTGCAAAATAAAGACTATTTTCACTTCTGCAATAAAAAAGGGCAAAGTTTATGATTTAGTGGATTTGAAAGAAGTATAGACATACAAAATATTCTTCTTACCCTTATAAATACATACACACACACACACACACACACACACACACACATATATATATATATATATATGTGTGTGTGTGTGTGTCTGTGTATGATTACGTAAGATCTAATTTGAAGATAAGTAAGCACAACATGTCTAAATTGTTTAATAGACAAGTTTAAATACACACAAATACACACACACACACACACACACACACACACATATATATATATATATATATATATATATATATATATATATATATATATATATATATATATATATATTAGTGGTAAATATACACATACATATGCAAAATATATAAATATATATATATACACATACATATATATTTGTATAAAAATAATTCAAGAGGATAGAATCCAGGTAGAACTCAATGTCCAGGACAGGTAAGGATATAATAAAAAGGCTTAAACACTAATATTCCATGGTTATAATTTATTCCATTGGAATCGTAAATACGATCCAATTCATCAGACCTACAAATTCAAAAAGAAAACAGAAAAAACAACTCCGGAAATAAAAAAAATAGAATTTAGAGAGAGTGTAAGTTTGAGAATTATTGGGACGAATGTTAGTGCTATAGAGAGGGGTAACAGACGAGAGAAGGTGGGGATTAAAATTTAACAGGAGACGTTTTAGAGGGGGAGTCAAAGACGGTTTAAGTGAGAAAAATGAATGTTACATATATATATATATATATATATATATATATATATATATATATATATATATTTGGTTGGATAGATGTGAGTTTGTGACCCTGGGTTTCACGCTTTAGCGATCGTGACGATCGCTAAAGCGTGAAACCCAGGGTCACAAACTCACATCTATCCAACCAAATATGTTAGCTATATCTCTCATATTGAGCGCTTTCTAATAAGTACCGCGCATATAATATATAAATAATTATACATACTTATATTTATTTATATTTATATACACTTTTCAGACACATATATATAAATATATATATATATATATGTATGTGTGTGTGTGTGTGTGAATGTGACTTCCTGCTAGAAAAATCGTAGACCCCCAAATAATTCAGTCTGCCCAATTTCACACAGCAGACTTGGGTCAACCCGTGGTATGGTTCTCAGGCACTTTCAAATATGTCTTACACGCTTGGATCGACTCCCCAGGACGATAAAATTAAGAATGCATCTTCGTGATAAACCAACGATGATGAGTTTCGAACCCGGGTCCCATGGTCGGAAAACGACCGTTCCATCCACTCTGCCACGTGCCCATATTTTTAAGGACTTGGGCTTTCTAGCCTCTCTGTTGATCACGCCAGATAACACGTTTTCTCCTAGAAAATGTAGCATAGGCCCGCTCAGCAGATTTGGGTGTTGAACAAATAGAAATATGTTTGAGCAGGTCCCTGCAACAATGATTCCCCATGGTTTCAGTACACTACTAAATTTTGTCTTTTTTGCTATTTGTCCCAAATATTTTTCTACCATCCATTTACTCAAGACCATCAAGTATGTTACGCGCTATTTTCCTTGGTCTTTCAGTCTGTCCTGTGAGTATTAGATTTTCCAAGCCCTTCTTTCTCACTACATACCTCAGTAATTTCAATTGCTTCTTCTTCCTAGAATCTGTTCTTTTATTGTCCTTTCACTTCACTAAAAGTTTTCTCATTCTCTTTCACTCACGATAAATCCTGGTGCTTTAATTGGTGAGGAATTATTAAAAACTTATCGATAATTCAAAAGTACTATCTATCTATCTATCTATCTATCTACCTATCTATCTATCTCTGTCTGTTCATATCTATCTATCTATCTATCTATCTATCTATCTATCTATCTATCGTCTGTTCATATCTATCTATCTATCTATCTATCTATCTATCTATCTATCTATCTATCTATCTCAGTCTGTTCATATCTATCTATCTATCTATCTATCTATCTATCTATCTATCTATCTATCTATCTAATACTAAAAGTCTGTGATTGTGTGCGTGATTGTGTGGTGCGTCCGTCCGTCCGAAGCATAATTATTTAAGTTGATCTGATTTTAAAAAATATTTTAAGTAAATTTTAAGTCAAGATTTGAGTTGTTTATACAGTAAGTATTTTTATTTTATCTTTCTTCAAACAGACAATTTTTTTAATTAAAATATTTTTAAGTTAAAGACAGACACAAAGAGATCTCGCTTTGCCGTTTCGTCCATTTGTTTGTAAAATAATTATTTATATTTCCATTTCTCTGGACAAACAACATTTTAAATATTTAAAAAATATTTTTGGGCATATTTAAAAAATATTTTCAAGTGAATATGATTTAAAATATTTTTTGGCATATTAAAAATATTTTCAAGTGAATATGATTTAAAACATTTTGTCATATTAAAAAAATATTTTTAAGTTAATCTGATTTGTTTACAAGAATTTTTTCATTTTTTTTTTTTTAAATTTTAATTATAATAATTTATAAAGTTTTAAATCTTTTTCATTTATAAAGTTTTAAATACTTAAATTTCTGTATATTTATACAGAAATTGAATTGGTTAAATGATATTGTTAATATGTTAAAAACCTATTTACTAATCATAAATGGAAAAAGCTTATTACAATTCATCAATCCCCAATATTTTAAAGGAATTTTTAAAATTTTTTTTTGTGCCGGTTTTATAATACAGATATTTCTTACATGACATTATCAAAAAATTAGAGTGATAACTTATAAATTTAAAAGCCAAAGTACCTCATTCAATAAAAACTTTATATAATAACGAATATCTTCCTAAATTTTTAAGATTACTGGGTAATTAATAATTATATAAGAAAAGCAGCCACATAATATTCCTTATGTAATATTTACAAATATATTCACCATATAAAAAAATTAGATAAACTCCAGTCTGGCAAGCAAGCTGTCAACATCTTAAACTACCACCTAGCTGCAGTTTTAAAAATGCATTACTGTGGTATTTTAAACAAAAATTCTCTAATATTTCTGTCAAATCTGATTAATTAAACTTTAAATCAGCTTATATTTCTCTGATTAAATTTCAGAAAAATACATTTTTATTTTTGAAAGTTTTTTAATAAATAGAATTACATTGTGATAGCAGATAGCTAAACATGACACTAAAAACAGTGTTGTTATTGATTTTAAAATAACTTCCAGCCAATTTAAAGTAGTTTTGAAATACAGCCAATTATTTTGGTATATTGAAATATTAAATTTAATTGATTAGCTTGATTAAACCAAAAAAAAAAAAGCTTCAAGAAAAGATTTTTAATTTTAAAAAATTCATTTAAACCTTAGGTACCTCCACAAAAACCTGATACCTATTTAAATGTCTTCTTTGAGTTAAATTTGGATTTATTTCAATGATAACAATGAAAGTAGTACCTCAAAAGCATTTCCCTAAGTTTTGAAATGCATTTTGAAAATGAAAAATATTTCTTGAAGCTTTTAATTTAGTTTTCAATTTAAGACATACCTACAAACATTTCCTTTATGAATGTAACATGAACACCTTTTTTGTATATATTTTTTAAGAAATCAACAATTTAAAAAGTTAACAGATTCAAAAGCAGTCTAATATTTTATTGAATTTTTACTTTTTATTAATAGTGTACCCTATAAAGATAAATCTTGAGGAAATGTTAGATAATTACCAATAAATGTTAATTTTACTATAGTTTACTCTTATCATCTGATAATAAATGTATGGACATATGCGGTTAGGAAAATAGATACATATACACATCAGAGATAAAATAATGATAGTAATGATTGATTCTGAACACACACATAATTGAATATGTTTCTCCTGGAGGACAATTAGGGGTTGACAGTTTTATTGTTCTTAAGATGCTCTGTGGCAGTACTCACCTCATTAAAGACGGGCTGTGTGTCCAAGAGCAGATATAGGGATAGGATCAGCAAATAATCAACAAACTTAGACTTGAGTTAACATATTTGAGCAACTCATTTAAGTTCTGGTTCAACGTACTTATTCTTTAGTAATACGTTATATATTTTTTTTTGGCTACTTTGGCTCAATAGTCTAATGTACAAAGAAACTTCTTGAGTAAATGTTAGAAAATTGCCAATAGATTTTAATTTTCCTATAAATTCCTCTTATCTGATCATATCATGAATGGATATCTACATTTAGGAAAACACATTTATACAAACATAAAATCAAAATTCTTTTTAAATATTAGGAGGGACGGGGGTTTATTCCACTCTAGTGAATTATTCCATTTATCATTAACAGATACATTCTTATGGTAATCATATTATTTGACCACTACAGAGTAATAGAAAATGGAGTACATTGATCTAATGATGATGTCTACTCCACCAAATGTGAAGAATGAAAATTGCATCACTGGTTGATAACATTATGTTGATGGCTGAAGACCAAAGAGAGATGCCATCTCAGGTCTAAATAGCTGATAATCACACATGAAACATCATTACGAAATTTCGAATGGATTTTTTGTGTAAATAATTTTAGATTATTTATTAAACCCTGAAATTTTATGCATAGTCAATACTAATTGATTTTATCAGATTGAAAGCCAAGTTTTATTTTTTATATTTCGTCATTTCCCTAAAAGATTTCTTTGTGCATATTATAACTATTTGAAGGTAAACAACTTTTCCATATCGCACTTTCAAAAACATCTTTGGTTTTATAGATACAGATTTTATATCAAAAATCTTCTTATTAAAAGGTACAAAAGATGCTTTTCATCGTGTTAGCATCCAGTTGTAATGTTTGGTTCATATCAACAGACTAATAATTGTCAGATTGAAATCACCATGTTTTTATAAAACTTTAAAAAATTCAAAAATTCTTTGTTGCTTGATATGTGAAATTGGTTCCTTATTTTTCTGCTCCTTAAACAAAGCTTCACTTGGTCATTATGCTTTAAATTTAATGCTTTTTTGCTTTATTTTAAATTTCATACCCTAATTAATGTTTTTTCTTCTTATCGTTCATTTTATTGATATCCTAATTTATCTGCTGTTGTGTGCTTGTCTTTTTTGAACCTAGTTTAAAAAGTGTAAAGAAGTATCTTTACAGAATATTTTTTATTTTTAAAAAAGCGGAATTAATTATTTTTAAAAAGGGATTGTGTTTTTTTAAACCCCAAGACTTCTGTCAAAAATTTCTGTCAAATCCTAACAAGGTTTAAAATTAAATATATTTTAATTTTCACCCGGCCTTTACCAGGGCTTGGTTGGGGGAACCGTTTTTCCTTTGCCCCCAGAGCGGATTGTTTTCTTTTCCCGGAAATCAATTATTTTCCCCCCCAGGGGGGTTTTAACTTCCCCGGGCCCACTTTTTTGTCTTTAAACTATGAATTTTTTTCTTAAAAGAGGGAGTGTCGTAAAACCCAAAAAAAGCGGAAAAAAAAATTTAACCCCTTTCAACCCCCGGACGGGGGTTTTTTAGTTTTCTCCACCCAAGCGGTGTTTCATCTTCCCCGGGGGGAAAAGGGAGACCTTTCTAAAACGAATTAACCCGGAAAAACGGAGATAAAAAAGAAAAATAAAATTAAAAATAGGTTTTTTCCAGGTTTAGTCAAAATTTTTTCCAGAAAAATTTTTTTTTTTTGGAAAAAACTTTTCCCCCCAAAACCAATTACATTTTTAAAATTTATTAATTATAAAATTTTTGAGGGGAAAACCCAAAAAGGGAGGAAAAAAAAAATTTTTTCCCCCAAGGAAAAAAAATTGGGTCTTTTAAAAATTTAACCCCATTCAGGTTGGATAAGCCCGGAAAAACCCCAAAAAAAAAAACAAAAAAAAAAATGGGGTTTACTAAAAAAAATTTGCAAATTTTTAAACCAAATTTTCTGGAAAAAAAATCACTTAAATCGTTCAGGCGTATTTATTTGAAATATGACAGCCACACAAATATAAGCAGATATGAATCAACAGTGATAGATCGATAGATATGAACATTCGAATAGATAGACATATAGATGAATGCCCGACGTACTGAGGTATCTATCTAGATACATAGATAAAAACGAACAGACTAAGATAGATACATAAATACATATATATGAATAAACTGTGATAGATATAGATAGATCGATAGATGAACAAGCTGAAACATGAACCCACTGAGATAGATTAACATGAACAGATTGCGATAGATATGAATGGATAAATGTGATAGAGGATAGATAGATATGAACATAATTAGATAGAATGAATGATAGATTGCGATAGATAGACAGATAGATAGATAGATAGATATAACAGATAGATAGATAGATAGATAATGAACAGAATTAGATAGATAGATAGATAGATAGATAGATAGATAGATAATGTAAAATAGATTGCGATAGATAGATAGATGAATGGATAGATGAATGGATAGGATAGATTGCGATAGATATGCATTAGATAGGATAGATGATAGAATGATACAGATAGATAGATAGATAGATAATAGAACATGAATGATGATAGATTACGATAGATATACAGATAGATAGATAGATAGATATGAACAGAATTGATTAGATAGATAGATAGATAGATAGATAGATAGATAGATAGATGAATAGAATAATGGAACGGATAGATAGATTGATAGATAGATAGATAGATAGATAAATGTAACAGAATTAGATAGATAGATAGATATAGATAGATGGATGAATGAATGGATAGATGGATAGATGATAGATAGATTGATAGAGGATAGATAGATAGATAGATAGATAGATATGAACAGAATTAGATGAGATAGATGAATGATAGATAGATAGATAGATGAATAACAGATTGCGATGAATATACAGATAGATAGATGAATGAATATGAACAGAATTAGATAGATAGATAGATGAATAGATGAGAGGAATGATAGATAGATGATAGAGATTGCGATAGATTGATAGATAGATAGATAGATAGATAGATAGATAGATATGTGAACAGAATTAGATAGATAGATGAATGAAATAGATAGTTACGATAGATATACAGATAAATAAATGATTGGTATAGACATACAGATAGATAGATAGATAGGATATGAAATAGATAGATAATAGATAGATAGATAATGATGAATTGATGATAGATAGATAGATAGATAGATGAATATGAACAGAATTAGATAGATAGATAGATAGGGATAGATAGATGAATGAAATCGGATTGCGATAGATTGATAGATAGATAGATAGATATATAACAGAATTAGATAGATAGATAGATAGATAGATAGATAGATAGATAGATAGATAATGAAAATAGACTAGACAGAATTAGATAGATAGATAGATAGATATGAACAGAATGAGATAGATGAATAGATAACAGAATGCACAGATTGATGAATACACAGATAGATAGATAGATGATATGAACGATTAGATGAATAGATAGATAGATAGATGAATAGATAAATAATGAACGGATTGCGATAGATTGATAGATAGATAGATAGATAGATATGAACAGAATTAGATAGATAGATGAATGAATAGATAGAACAGATTGCGATAGATATACAGATAGATAGATAGATAGATAGATAGATAATGAAGAACTGAGATAGATAGCTAGGTAGATGATATATATATGATACAGATGAGGCAGAAACAGAAGCACACACACACATATATTTTATTGATTATAGAGATATAATAAAATGTCACTAAAAAAGCCTATCTATCCCTCAAATGTTCAGACTTTTGCACGCCCTTCTTTATCCCAAAGGGTATTAGTGCACGTAAGTGAATAATGGATTCAACTGGAATTGAACCTGGCTTCCGATTCTGCGGTAGAATCCATTTTTCTGCGGTATCATCCGCTATAAACCGGTCCGTAAATCATCTTCTTCTTCCCCGCCCATAGCTGGAGAGAAGAAGAGGATTCTATAATTCTTCCGAAGAGTATTAGTATATAAATGAATGTAATGGATTCAAATGATTCGAACTTGTCTCCGATTCCTCAATCAGAAGCCGTGTCTCCTAATTATCCTATTATTATTATTCCCTTTGAATTCTACTCATAATCATTTCCTTCTGGGTCTCTACCTACTACACCTAAGATTAAAATGGCGTCGCGATTTTCCACAAAACTTTTGTAAAAAAGTAAATAAATGAATAAATAAAACCACTTAACCCACATTTTACAGAGATAAAGATCTTTTGATGTTCGCCTTGTGTTTCTGCGAATAACGATTTGTGTTTATTTAGGATACTTTCTACCAGGGAACCCTTCAATGTGCCTATCAGAACCTTTTAAGTAAGGCCCAGACAAACTAGAACTATGGATGCCTTCATGCCAAGCCATGTTTTTTAGATTTCCATTTGAAGATCCATATATTTTGATAGTCTTTGAAGATCTTCTGAAAGTTACATCACCGTCTGCGAAAATGGCTACGTTAATAAGAAAAGTTCATTCTATTTTTGTGGTCTTTGATCACAGATGTTCGCTTGATTAGCTTTGATTATCAAGTTTGTGTGTATTGTAATGTACCATAAAATTGTTACATATCCAGCGCCGTAAACGGTTTGGAATTATTTCATATACCTTACTAGATTAAAAGCCGTCTGATCGGATGGTATTGCTAGCTCCTGAGAGGAGCGATTGACCTTCATCACAGCCAGCTAGGAAGGGTGAATACGATAAGCAATAATTAAATACAGAGCTACAGAAAAACTCAAATCTGATCGCTGCATTTAAGTAACGAATTAATACTTAAGATTACCTTTAAAAGTTCAACGATAATTCTTCTTCCGCCAATTAATTTAAAGACAATTTGATGCACGTAAGTTGCTTACTTTCCGTAAAAAACAATTTTTTTTTATTTCGTAGATGACTTTTCGCTGGATTTTGCAATTAATTTCCGATTATTCCCAAATGTATTTCAAGTTATTAAAATTGTTATCGTACCAAAATTTGGTCGCAAACAAATCACGTAAAAAAATCCGAAAACAATCACGGTAATAAAATTTGCGATTCCATCATTTGTGATCCCGGAATGGTTTAATTTGCCCGATTCGGCCCTCTAGGGAAAGTTGAAATATGTTGACATTCGCATTTATTATATAGCCCTAATTGAAAAGTCGGAATTCAGTATTCTGATTCCAAAATTACAACGTTTCGACCGTTGTACGCTCCGGCCTTCTTCAGCTGAACCATTTATTTTGCCTCACTGGGGTAGATTGTTCTAGTTCCATGTGCCATGTTTAATGGATGTCAGTTATCAGTTATCTCCTGTTAATTCTCCAAGTTCTCCACTGCCTTAGCTGGCAGACTGAACTGCGGTCCATATAACATCAGGACCACCTTCAAAAGCTTGACGACACTTCGCAGATATTTCTCTCGAGTAAGACCCCATATAGAGAACATGACTAAAGACTGTGTGTCCTTGAGGACATCTGTGTATGAATTTCTGGGTATTATAAAACCTAATGTCTTCAGCAACCATTTTTTTTTTATCAGTACTATATTGCAATTTTTTTCCTGTTATTATTACATTTTTTTTTACCAGAGCTCATATATTGCATTTTTGTTGTTATTATCGCTTTTCTGGCACTCCTTATTACTGGTTCCCATATTGTATTTAACGGCATTTAGATTGATTTACTTACAATTATGAGGATGAAAAAGATTTATAGAGTAACCAGGATTTATAAATGCCTAATTGCAACTGATATAATGTGCTATATTTCACGGTGGTTCAATATCGTCTCGAAAACGTTGTTATCAAAATTAAAAACTTAAAAGCATTTTCGTACACTTTTACTGGATTCAACCGAGCTCACGGTGAAAACGTAGAGTTCCACACAAACGTATATATGCACACCCATACACACACAACACACATAGACACACACGCACATATAGACGCGCACTCATATATACACAGAACACACACACATGCAATCACAAACACAGAGACATAGACATACATACACACACATATACACACACACATATATACACACATACACGCACACAGATATATATACACACACACACACCCATACACACATATGTACGCACCCCACACACATATACAAACACATGCATAAACACACTTACATGCACATACACACACACTTTTCAATTAAAGGACAAAACTCTTTAACTTTCAATAGCTCATGTTACAGAAATTTTGGATTCTCAAAAACGTGTTTATCATTAAAAAAACATTTTTACTTTAGTTCACATATACACACACAAACATAGAGACCATACATATGCACACACACAAACAACACACATAGACACACACGCACATACAGACGCACACTTGCATATACACACACATACACAGACATGCAATCACAAGCACAGAGACATACATATACATACACACATATATGCACACATACACACACATACATTTGTCATTAAAAAAAAGCATTTTTTACACTTTAGTTCGATACTACATTCTATCTACTAACACACATATACACATACAAACATAGAGATACACATACATATGTACACGCATAGCATACAACACACATACACACATGTTGATATACACGCGCAATTTGTATATACACACATACAATCACAAACGCAGAAACATTCACATACATACACATATACCCACACAGACATATACACACGCGGGCACACACATATATATATACACACATACACACACACATGTAAACACACCACATACCACACCACATACATACATACATATGTATGTACACATATACACACACGTATACACATACACACACATAGCTCACAAACACAAATACACAAATATTATATATATATATATATATATATATATATATATATATATATATATATATATATATATATATAAATGAGAATGTTCTCGTGTCACTGTGTCACTTTTTTCAATTAAAGGGAAACAACTCTCTAACTTTCGAAATTTTGGATTCTCAATTTTGATTACGGCGATTGTTGTTTATGAGTTTTTACTGTTTTTGCGACGATAAAAATTTATAAATTTGAAATCAATTTGGGGATAATCCGAATTAATTGTAGAAATCCTTGGGAAAGTCAATGTGAAATAAAAAATAATTATTTTACCGAAAAGTAAGACCTACGCATATCAATTTTCTTTAGATTAATTGATGAAAGAAAAGTTTCGTTGATCTTTTAAAGTTAAAACTTAAATATTAATTTTGAGTTCTTCTGATTTTATTGCTGCCCTATCGCATATGACAGCAGTATGCCTTGCAATAAGAAATCTCCGCCAACAGAGAACAGATTGCAATCAAAGAGCCAAGGCTTGGAGAGAAAAGGCCCGTGTGAAATGAAAAACCCATCTCATACAGGGAGATGAGGGGCTTCCAATGCTGAGAATATGTAAAGACTTAGGCACTTTCAAACTCCTAAACAAGCAAAGGCCCAATCAAAGCCCTCCGCTGGAGATAGTAAAGCTAATCCTTGATATATTTCCTTGTTATGGTGACCTATCTGCAATAGAATGAACTCTCTTCCTTTATAAATACTAACTTGCGAGACTTCCTTGAGGAGGTATTCGGGACGCAGTTTCTGACTATGTGTGACTTTAGTCGAACTCTCTGCTTTGGCAGAGAGGAAACCGAACAAGCTTGCCGAAGGTTAAAGCTTCGTCCGGGAGAGGTAGACAGGCCCTGAACTCGTTTATACGGGTTTCTAAGGGAATATTTTTGGCCGAGCCTACGGGCTTTGAGGACGCACGGTAAACTTGGCCTTGTGCCACACATCCTCGTGGGTGGGTTGTTAAATATCGACAGTCGACACACAGTCTCTGACTGTGTGAGACTTCTGTCGAACTTTCTGCTCTGGCAGAGGGAACCCGGCAGTTAAATATAGGCAGTCGGGACGCAGTGTAACCTGGCAGTTTCAGACGGACGCTTCTATCTGCTGACTAATGACACTCTTATTTTGTATATATGTTCTGTTATTTCAATACACTTGTTCAAACTACCTTCTTCTTTTCCATATCTTTCTTTCTGGCCCCTAACAGGCCAAAACACTGTCTTTATGCCATTATTCTTTATATAAGACTATTATTATTTCATTTTCTCTGGCTTCTGCAACAAGCCTATGCCAGAGAAAAGGAAATAAATCAGATTCAAAAATGCATAATTGATATTTGTTGTCTGTATGAAAAAATATGTTGCACTTAAGAAAACAGTTTTAAGCCCATTGTGAACAAATACCAACTGGACAATTTGGGGAAAAGTAAAGTAAATTTATTTTGTATAGATTTGTAGTTTCTCCACACCTTAGTTATGACACCATATTGTTCAGAAACAAAGTTTACGATATATAAAGAAGAATATGCAATGTTATTGGTCCTGATCTAGCATCTCGACTTTTGTTATGGTGACCTATCTACATTAGAATGAACTCTTCCTCCTTTATAAATACTAACCTGCGAGACTTCCTAAGGAGAGGCAGTCAGGACGCAATGTAACCTGGCAGTTTCCAGACAGACACTTCTATCTGCTGACTAATAACACTCTTATTTTGTATATATGTTCCGTTATTTCAATACACTTGTTTAACCTACCTTCTTCTTTCCGTGTTTTTTTTCTGGCCCTCAACAAGCCACAACATTCCTACAAAGTCGTAATTCCTTTTTTTAGAATTTCTGTTCTTGAAGAAAAACTCCACCCTAAAAAAAACTACAACCTAATTCGTAGTTGGCAACTTGTTTCTTTTTTCTTCCCTGCTATTCTCTTCACTCACTGAGAGTGTGCAGCACGCGGTGTGGGCACAATTGCAGCTCAGTGGTCGTAGCAAGCAGATGCAAGGTGACTATTCATTTCTGGAAATTCGTGATACCAAACGCTGGGGTAAAAATGGGGTGGGTAAAGCGCCTACCTTTTATTAATTACTACTTCCACTCGTATAAACCTGAGGCAAAATCTGAGGGCGGCATGCGCTAGATGAGGGACGGCAACACGACTAAAAATTCTATTCACAGAGTCAGTCATCATTATTATGTATACAGAGTCAACTGGGTGTCTATATTAATAAATGATAACGCCATTACCAAAAATAGACATATCCGCTGAATGTATTGCTTCATGTCGTAAATACAATGATCTGCGAACTCACTGTCGTTAGATTGATTTTCCTTTTATAACTTGGTCAGGCAAGTTCACTGTGGTTAATGCAAGATTGTCGTGGACAGAATATTAATTATGCCTAAGTGATTCATTACAAATCGCTAATGATAACAGTCGGCTTGATTGCGTATTGGCTAGAAGATGAGGTTGAGCGGCGTCGAGAAAAAAATGGCTGTTCATAAAGCAACCACGATTGGAAAAGCGGAAATGTCTAAAAGGACAAGAGATCAGGTGCATTACACCTCAACAAGTGACAGAAATGACAAAATTCAGTTTTGTAGGAGTAACGAGGAAGGCAATTAGGAGGAGAAACGAGAGATACATATGGACTGAGATAGATAGATAGATAGATAGATAGATAGATAGATAGATAGATAGATAGATAGATGAAATGACTTACATAAGGAAATGACTGAGACAGATATGAACAGACTGAGAGATAGATAGATAGATAGATAGATAGATAGATAGATATGAACAGGCTTTGATAGATAGATAGATAGATAGATAGATAGATAGATAGATGAATGTGATAAAGAACTGACTTACATAGGAAACTGACTTAGATGAATGGATATGAGCAGACTGAGATAGATGGATAGATAAAGGAACAGGCTTAATAGATGAATAGATAGATAGATAGATAGATATAGATAGATAAAGTATATATATATATATATATATATATATATATATATATATATATGGGAAAATTGTATGACAAAGTAGAAAAAGTATACTGGTAACCTTTTTCCACTGTCTCATAAAGTTTTCCAATATTATTCTAGTTATATAAAAAATATAACGCTATCTTATATATACATATATATATATATATATATATATATATATATATATATGTCTGTGTGTGATTACTGAAGATCTTATTGAAGATAAGTAAGGCATAATATGTCTAAATTGTTTAATACCCAAGTTAAATTAAATACACACACACATATGCATGTGTGTGTGTGTGTGTGTGTGTGTTAATATGACTTTCGTGCTAGAAAAAAACCTAGACCCCCAAATAGTTCCGCTTGCCCAATTTCACTCTTGGTTTCAGTAAGAAAAATAAATGAAAGAAAAGAAGAAGAAGATAGAAATATTTCACGGCTGTTTTAGTAAAATGGGAAAAAATTGTCAGTTAAATATTTTCATTTGTACCCCTTACTTCTTGAAATAACGACCAGCTTTCATATTTATGATTGTTCCTGTAATATTTTGTTAAATTTATGTTCAAATATTTAATGATGTGATAAGGAATTTTTACGGATATACTATTGCCATAGAATTCGCCATGAGCTTATTTAATCATTAACTGAAGAATTAATTTTCATCAGACGATAAAAATAAGAAAAGAGTAAAATTTTCAAAACTAAAAAACTAAAACTTCATAAATCTGATAATATAAACGACATCCTGTATCTGATTAAAGTGATTAAAATGTCAAATGTGTGAGCTTTTTTTAATTTTTCTGAATGAGTCTTTGGCAATATTTGCTTTTTTTGTTGTGAAGAAAATTGCAAAATAAAGACTATTTTCACTTCTGCAATAAAAAAAAAAAGTTTATGATTTAGTGGATTTGAAAGAAGTATAGACATACAAAAATATTCTTCTTACCCTTATAAATACATACACACACACACACACACACACACACACACACACATATATATATATATATATATGTGTGTGTGTGTGTGTCTGTGTATGATTACGTAAGGATCTAATTTGAAGATAAGTAAGCACAACATGTCTAAATTGTTTAATAGACAAGTTTAAATACACACACAAATACACACACACACACACACACACACACACATATATATATATATATATATATATATATATATATATATATATATATATATATATATATATATATATAATAAAATATACACATACATATGCAAAATATATAAATATATACATACACATACATATATATTTGTATAAAAATAATTCCAAGAGGATAGAATCCAGGTAGAACTCAATGTCCAGGACAGAGTAAGGATATAATAAAAGGCTTAAACACTAATATTCCATGGTTATAATTTATTCCATTGGAATCGTAAATACGATCCAATTCATCAGACCTACAAATTCAAAAAAGAAAACAGAAAAACAACTCCGGAAATAAAAAATAGAATTTAGAGAGAGTGTAAGTTTGAGAGTGTGGGACGAATGTTAGTGCTATAGAGAGGGTAACAGACGAGAGAAGGGTGGGGATTAAAATTTAACAGGAGACGTTTTAGAGAGGGAGTCAAAGACGGTTTAAGTGAGAAAAAATGAATGTTACATATATATATATATATATATATATATATATATATATATATATATATATATTTGGTTGGATAGATGTGAGTTTGTGACCTGGGTTTCACGCTTTAGCGATCGTGACGATCGCTAAAGCGTGAAACCCAGGGTCACAAAACTCACATCTATCCAACCAAATATGTTAACTATATCTCTCATATTGAGCGCTTTCTAATAAGTACCGCGCATATAATATATAAATAATTATACATACTTATATTTATTTATATTTATATACACTTTTCAGACACATATATATAAATATATATATATATATGTATGTGTGTGTGTGTGTGAATGTGACTTCCTGCTAGAAAAAATCGTAGACCCCAAATAATTCAGTCTGCCCAATTTCACACAGCAGACTTGGGTCAACCCGTGTATGGTTCTCAGGCACTTTCAAATATGTCTTACACGCTTGGATCGACTCCCCAGGACGATAAAATTAAGAATGCATCTTCGTGATAAACCAACGATGATGAGTTTCGAACCCGGGTCCCATGGTCGGAAAACGACCGTTCCATCCACTCTGCCACGTGCCCATATTTTTAAGGACTTGGGCTTTCTAGCCTCTCTGTTGATCACGCCAGATAACACGTTTTCTCCTAGAAAATGTAGCTATGGCCCGCTCAGCAGATTTGGGTGTTGAACAAATAGAAATATGTTTGAGCAGGTCCCTGCAACAATGATTCCCATGGTTTCAGTACACACTACTAAATTTTGTCTTTTTGCTATTTGTCCCAAATATTTTTCTACCATCCATTTACTCAAGACCATCAAGCATGTTACGCGCTATTTTCCTTGGTCTTTCAGTCTGTCCTGTGAGTATTAGATTTTCCAAGCCCTTCTTTCTCACTACATACCCTCAGTAATTTCAATTGCTTTTTCTTCCTAGAATCTGTTCTTTTTTATTGTCCTTTCACTTCACTAAAAGTTTTCTCATTCTCTTTCACTCACGATAAATCCTGGTGCTTTAATTGGTGAGGAATTATTAAAAACTTATCGATAATTCAAAAGTACTATCTATCTATCTATCTATCTATCTACCTATCTATCTATCTCTGTCTGTTCATATCTATCTATCTATCTATCTATCTATCTATCTATCTATCTATCTATCTATCTATCGTCTGTTCATATCTATCTATCTATCTATCTATCTATTCATCTATCTATCTCTATCTCAGTCTGTTCATATCTATCTATCTATCTATCTATCTATCTATCTATCTATCTATCTATCTATCTAAAAAAAAGTCTGCGATTGTGTGCATGTGATTGTGTGGTGCGTCCGTCCGTCCGAAGCATAATTATTTAAGTTGATCTGATTTTAAAAAATATTTTAAGTAAATTTTAAGTCAAGATTTGAGTTGTTTATACAGTAAGTATTTTTATTTTATCTTTCTTCAAACAGACAATTTTTTTAATTAAAAATATTTTAAGTTAAAGACAGACACAAAGAGATCTCCTTTTGCCGTTTCGTCCATTTGTTTGTAAAATAATTATTTATATTTCCATTTCTCTGGACAAACAACATTTTAAATATTTAAAAAATTTTTGGGCATATTTAAAAATATTTTCAAGTGAATATGATTTAAAATATTTTTTGGCATATTAAAAATATTTTCAAGTGAATATGATTTAAAACATTTTTGTCATATTAAAAAATATTTTTAAGTTAATCTGATTTAAAGTTCGAGTTTTTCCCGGAATTTCTATTCCTATTAAATGTTGTTAACAATCAGTAAAACGTTAAATATGAACTTGTAAACCAAATCAATGATGACACAAACGAATTGAAATGTTTAACTGAATCATAATAAAATTAAGTTTCATTTCAATGGAATGCTGAAATGAACATTAATGTTTTATAACCTGAACAAACGTGTCACGGATAGTGTAGTACATTACAAACTGTAAAAATATGGGATTTGACAAAATATCTTGATCAGAGGTCAAAGAACCTAATGATTCCCAGTAAAATATTTAATTAAACTCTGGTTTTGTGATTTAAAAAAAGTTTCGATAGAGAGATATTTCTCTAAGGAAGATCAAAGTCAAAACATTTTTATGTCAAAACATTTTTATGTCAAAACATGCAGACTTTTAAACAACAAGGTATCGAAAAAATTTCTTATAAATGACAAGAAAATATTTAGAATATTTCCATTGTTCTTTTTTTTTATTATATAATTTATTCTATTTACCTCGATTTAACTCTGTTGAGCGAGATACGAAACCGGTTAGCTAGCCCGTTTTTCATTTTCACGAGTGGTAATAATAAAACTAATTTTTGCCTTTTCATGGCAGTGATATATATATATATATATATATTACTCTGGATTTTGGAGTGAACAATTACACATTAAATGTACCATTTTAAGAAATAGTATTATATATATTTTTAATGATAATAATAAAAATCAAAATAAATAAATAAGAATAAAAGTGTAAAATTATCATCAATGATCGTCCTCGTCATGACGATAAACTGCATCCGCGTTCTGGGTAAGACGATAAACTACGTCCGGCAGCAAGGCCTCTGATCTGGAGGTTTTGAGGAGCGTGGAACCACCTCTTAATTGTCGGTGTTCCCAGGTCCACACCAGCTATGGGAAAATAGTTAACCCTTTGACTGGGGTTAAAACACTATGAAAGTGTAAAACTAGGTTTTAGTACCAGCAATATATTTTTGTAAAAAATTATTACCAGCAATGAATTTGGGAAGAAAAAAATTACTACCAATAACATATTATTAACAGCAAAACATTTTTAAAAAATATTACCAACAATAAAAATCTTGTCGGCATCAAATAACTCATTGAGGTTGATATACCGTAAAACAAATCAAACCAAACCAAACTAATGAAATATATGAGAACATTTATTTATTATTATTATTTTTGTTGTTAAAAATGAATTATTCTGAACCAATAGAAAAAGAGAAAAATAGCGTTACGATTTGAAACACTTTTCCGGTAAATCTCAAAATACGTCCTCGTTCAAATAAAAATGTTACTTACAGTCAATAAAAGCGAAAAGGATAAAAAAAAATAAAATTACAGGCAAAAGTTTTTAAAAAAATTGAATAGTAAATGATCAGGAAGGGAATCGAACATAGATAATCAAAACAAACATTAATATTCGTAATGCCTTTCCCACAATATCCAAATTTACCTGCTCATTCATAAAGTCCTACAATTCCTACAATTTCGAAAGTTACATCCTCATTCATAAAAAGAGAAATGTTACGCTTAAATATAAAATAGATTAGAATTATTCATGTCAATGTATAAATTATTTAACAAATACAGGAATGTTTTTTATATAATAATTCTTACTGAGACATTTTTCTTAATAAATTAAACTTGCTGAATATTATTCAGTGCCATGAGTGATACACGCTTAGGCGATCTATGTATCTTTCGATAGATGACCGATGAGGCATGTTTTAGCTGCAGTACGTTGCCATTTCTTTCTGCGGTAGACAAGTTCTCGTCAAAGGCTATAGAACCAGTCTGTTCTGCTATTTACCCATAGCTGGGGGGAGAAGAAGAAGAAGGATTCATATCTTTCCAAAGGGTAGTAGCACGTAAGGGGATTCGACTGAAGGCTCTCTTATTCCTCAATTCGAGCCACTATTCATTACGCCTTTTTCCCGCAGTAGGTTGCCATTTCTTTCTGCGGTAGCCCAGTTGCCATCCAAGGCTATAGAACCCAGTCTGCCCTGCTATTTATCAACAGCTGGGTAGGGTGGAGGAAAAGAGGAGGATTCATACCTTTCCCAAGAGTATGAGCACGTAAGGGAATGTAATGGATTCGATTTGAATTCGAACTCGGCTCTCCGATTCCTCAATCCGAGCCGCTATCCATTACTTCTTTTTCCATCAGTAGGTTGCCATTTCTTTCTGCGGTAGACCAGTTGCCATCCAAAGCTATAGAACCCTGTCTGTTCTGCTATTTACCCATAGCTGTGGAGGGGGGAGAAGAAGAGCATTCATACCTTTCCCAAGGGTATTAGCACATAAGTGAATATTATGGATTCGACTGGAATTCGAACTCGGCTCAATCCT